CCTGCCTCTGCCTCCTGAGTGCTGGGATTAAAGGCGTGCGCCACCATGGCCCAGCTAATTTCTACTAGTGATTTAATATCCCTCACCAGCTTTTCTTTTGTGACATTTGTGTCTAGTATTTGATTTGTACTTGGATTATAAGAATACTTTCTTTCTTCTTGATTATTTTGAACAAGAGTATGAACACCATCCCCAGAAGAGCCAGCAGAGTCATTGTAAGACTGTTTTGTATTAATTTTCAACTCACAGAATTTTCCTATTGTACTGACATTTTTACTAGTGCTCTGCCACTGCTGTTGAAAGACTTTGTAAGCATCTTTCTTTTTTTCAGACGAGTGCATTTCTGAACTCTGAGGAACTTCCACAGGCAAGTGTCTAGAAACAGACTGAGAATTTTGCACATGTTGGCTTCCATATCTACAGCTGTAAGGGGGGGGAGGGAGTCTTTTGCTGGTTTCTGCAGCATACTGATATGACGACACAGGTACAGGGCGCTTTGATGGTAAGGTCTGTGTAGAAGGTGGAAGCTGATTATTTTTAACTTGTAATGATGTAGATGACACAAAGTTTTGTTTCTGAACAGAAGTGTCTTGCACAAAGCTTTGTGGTAAATAAGGATATTGCTTTGGAGGTGGTCTGTAATCTGGATAAGTAAGTTCACTGGATGCACATTGTACCCAGCCAAGCTCACCTGCCATCGAGTGGTTAAGTCCCGGATTTCCTTGATAATTTCCTTGGTAAGTTACAGGGCCTCTTACAGAGTTTGAAGGAGTCATCTGTAGTTGCACAGAGTAGGTGTCTGATGTGACAAGATGACTCTGTGGTGCATGCATATATGGCATACTAGGCCCACCATCAGGTTTATGAGATATGGTTGCCTCTGTAAGAGAAGGCATAAAATTCCTCATTGTTGAATTCATCCAGGCATTTTGCACAACTCCAGAAGACACTGTTTGCAAATTGTGGTTTGGTTGTTGGGCTCCTTTAACATTTGTATATGTGACTCTTTCTACTGAGGTCTGTGAGGCCACAACTGTCCTATTATGCACATTAGAAACAGAGATCGGAGGATTTATGAAACTCCTGACGTTCAGAAGTGGCTGTGAAACTGAATTTGAATTAGTGGGATATATGCATGCTTCTTGGTTATGTGGGAGACAGCTGAAAGAACTTTGAGAAGTTGTGGAAGGCATTAAAAACTGCTGCAAAAGAGACGACTGGCTTTTAGAATATGGTGGGTTTGGGGCAGCATTCTCTGGTTTTGCATTCCAATTCATATTTGACCTGGTTTAGTAGTAGTGTTGCATAGTCTGTGGTTTTGAATGTCACAAATCTGCAAGAAATACAAATAAAGATCTTTTATTAAAGCTTTCCCCTTTAATCCCAGCACTCGGGAGGCAGAGGCAGGCGGATCTCTGTGAGTTCGAGGCCAGGCTGGTCTCCAGAACAAGTGCCAGGCTAGGCTCCAAAGCTATGAAACCCTGTCTCGGAAAAAACAAAAAAACAAAAAAACAGAAAAACAAAAAAACTTTCCTCATCATTCCCTGATTGTTGTTGTTAAGACAGTCTTTCTGGCCTAGAACTCCCTTTGTACCCTTTGTAGAACACACTGACTTCAAATTTGTCGTAATCACTCTGCTTACACAGAATTTCAAAGAATAGAAGCAAATTATGTCTACGGTAACTAATAATCTGTACCCAGATAGTAGTAACAGAAGCTGTAACAGTAATTGAGTCAATTGTCAAGATCAATGAAATGTGTAAAGATTCACTCCACAAGAAACAGCTGTCACCTGTTAAATTAAAGTGGCACTTAACTGCTTTTATTTACTATTATTTGAGGTGAGGATGATGGACTTAAAGAGACTTAAGCATGCTAAGCATTTACTCTACCCCTAAACTGTGTGTGTGTGTGTGTGTGTGTGTGAGAGAGAGAGAGAGAGAGAGAGAGAGAGAGAGAGAGAGAGAGAGATCTCCATGGCCTGTTACTCCTTATTTTAATACTTTATTCTTACTGTACATTCCCAACTTATAAATTCTATTGGTGTACACAATGTTATCTTGTCTTTTTGTAAAATTTCTAAGCATAAAGACTATAGAGTTTCATGCTCTATCCTCAACTACTCAAGAGGTTACACAGTATTGTGAAAATGTCTGGAAAATATAGAGACCCTATCTGAAGAATGAAACAAAATCTAAAACAGCTTTTGAGACAAACACAATCTACTGTATTTTGGGGTTTTTTTTTTATCATATACAGACAGGTTATTATTACATTTCACTAAAAATTATCTATCTGCACAGCATTCAACTTTATAGCTATGTCACCTGTGACATACCAATAACTTTATTTGAGCCAGGCCTGGTTGTACATGTCTATAATCCCAGCACTCAAAAAGCTGAAGCAGGAAGACATCAAGTTCAAGGCCTACCTCAAGTTCTGTGAAGCCCATCTCAAAATAAAAAGTTAAAACTGCAAGGGTCCAGATGGTCTACAGTTCCTTTCTCAAGCATGAACCCTGACTGAGTATGCTACATGACTTCAGAAAGCTACAGGCATGAGATAATGTCTAAGTCTAAAAAA